TACAGTGTTCACACTCGTATGGTCTATATGGACACACCTCCAGTTCATGCTGGGAAAGGTTATGGCGCTGATACTGTTGTTGACAGTCCTCGTGTTTACATTTCACTTCTTGATAGTCACATTCACCTTCCCTTTCCCCCTGGCTCAGATGAGCTGAAACGTTCTTCAATTTCCCAGTCCACTGACAGCCCCTACTCTTATGAATACAGTATACTTCTAATGCGTCTATCATTAGAGAACATTTCTTGTCAGGGAATGTCTGAAAAACTGTTTCTTTACACAAAGGACAGGAAGCTTGATGTGTTTTTATTTTGACGCTCTCAATACAAGACCCGCAGAAATTATGACCACAACATGATACTTGGTGTGGATCCGTGAAGATATTGAGACAAACTGGACACTCTATATCATCTTTATTAGGAATCTCCTCAACAAATGAAAGGTCCTCAAACTGCTGCATTTGCATGCCTTTTAATTGTGTGGGCGGGGCATCAATACAGAAGACACGCCTTCTCAAACTAACACTGCACTTCAGTTTCCAGTAACTTTTAAAATTCATTAAAAATCCAAATTTGATCGGAATCAGTTCAAACTTTCTACACAACATAAGAACATGTATATGTATCAGAAAATGTAATAAAAATTGAGAATTCTCTACTTTCTAATTTTGGTGAAATTTGGCCGAAATCCCTGTACTATAGTACAGGGACTTTTGCCCGATTTTGGAGCAACTTTAAAAATTCGTAAAAAATTCAAACTTGATCGGAATCAGCTCAAACTTTCTACACAACATAAGAACATGTATATGCATCAGATAAAGTTATAAAAATGAAGAATTCTCTTCTTTTTAATTTTGGTGAAATTTGGCCCAAGACCATGTACTATAGTACAGGGACTTTTGCCCGATTTTGGAGCAACTTTAAAAATTCGTAAAAAAATCCAAACTTGATCGGAATCAGCTCAAACTTTCTACACAACATAAGTACATGTATATGTATCAGAAAATGTAATAAAAATTGAGAATTTTCTACTTTTCATTTTTGCTAAAACTTGGCAAAATCCCCTAGTGAATCATTAGAACTAAAACCTGAGAATTGGTCAGTACAGTACGTCACATGATGGAGTGAGTCTTGTTTATTTTGTTCTTTTTCTTGCAGACCTTCTGATGAGCATGTACTAACTAATTGGATTGGAATGTGTCAATATTTCTGTTTGTATTCCAATAATCATTTTAATTAATTGCAATGTTGTTGTCTAGCTATTCCATCATCATCATATCATAACAAAATTTGAAGTGGAACTCCTGTACAAGTACATTCAACTGGTCTATGATGTGATGTACATTGAAAACCACCAAATCTCTCTATATACCTCAGTCAGACAATAGGCTCAATAATATGATAATAGCTCCATATATGGTATGAACTGACTATTGTATACATCCATTGGGGACTTTTGATGATGGATACATGTACATATACATGGTTGTATTTCAGGTGTATCCTCATCATGACAGTCAGTGTCCTCTTGTTATTAGATTGCTAACAGAGGGCTCTGAGCCTCCCAGTCTGCAGTGGATCCTAATCCAATGTTCCTTATTGCATTAGGTTATTCAATGAATCATACTCCAGCTGTAATGTGATACACTTGTGCCGCCAATGTTTCTTTACACAAAGACTGTTATTATGTTTAATTTATTGAATTAGTGGCTCTTTATTGCTCTTTCATGAAGACCCAACATGACAGGAATTTTTGAACTTAGGCCAGTCAGGTACAGACTTTGACACCATGTGATCCGAGCGACCTGATTGGTCAGGAAGTTTGTGACATCACTGGTCAGTCGCTGGTTTGCAGGATCTTTCACATAATTATTAGATTGTTGCTAAACAACCAATTAAAGATAATGGGTTGTTGTAGTTGTGACCCTCTGATGTGTGGGTGACTTCATTATTACTTCAGGCATCTTAGGCTAGTAGAGCTAGTGTTCCAAATAAATATTAATTGGGTAATGACGCATAATTTACTCCCTTTAAAATAATAATAATAATAATAATAATAATAATAATAATAATGACGAAGCCTGTCCACCTGCACTTCAATGAATGTGTAGGAGAGGTGATCACATTAGGTGGTATCTATCAGCAATTGCATGACAAAGCTTCTTTAGATTGTAAGTAAATGAGTTTGTAACAAGAAATTGGGTCTTTTAAAAATGTCCTATTCATCTCAATCTTTTGCTTGATAAATGTGTCAAGTTTTACTGATTGAATGCATCAAGTTAAAGTTGGATTGCCTTAAGCACTAAACTAGTGGAGTGGTGACTGGAAGTGTGGGAGTATCTATTGACTGTTGTCTTCAGATGGATAGGCATACATGGCATACATGGGATTGTGATGTACACAGACCTGGCAGGCAAGCATTCTTTTATCAGCTACAAACAATAATGACCCAAAAACAAAGACATCAAACTTCCTCTCTCAGAAAAGCTGTTGATAATGATAGCTTGTGCTGTTTATGCTATGGACTAATGGCTGAGTTAGTTCATCAACTTAAATTGAATTTGAAAAGATTTATTATTGAGAATCAATATTGATAAAAATATAACTTTAAAAAGAATATAAAAATAATGAATATATATTTTATTGTTGGATTATTATTGATTGCTGAGGAGTTAATGTTGAGAGGTATAATGAGAATGGGTTTACGCCAGCAGCTGCCATCAGTACGCCAGCACCATTACTGCTCCCTCCTTCCCTCCTCTGTAGCAATGGAGGTGACAGTATTGCACTATTGTTACTAGTGAGTGTGGACAATAGACTACCTCCTGTAGTGCTGCTAGTAGGAGAACAACTGTTGATAGAGGAGAGTGGAATTAATGGAGGTGGTTGGGATAATCTTGATGTGGCAGCTCCAGGGAGATGAGATGGGGAGATGATGGAGCCTGGAGTTGCAGTGGGTAAGGTCCAAGTTGGTGTGACGCTATTAGCTGCTGGTGACCAATAGAGACCAGCAGGAGTTGCTGCAGGTGGAATAGAGAGAGAAGGAGAAGGATTGGAGTGGTGAATGGAGTGATTGTTGGATAAAGCTTTCATTTGTGCATCTGCTGCAGCTATGAGCTTCTCTCTTTTCCTCCATTTTGCTCTACGATTCTGAAACCAAACCTGCAACAGAAAAGAAGAAAAGAGTAAAATATACCAATAGAGCTGCAAATGCAATTATGGAAATAATTATAATGCAATTATGAAATTACATGGATTATGTGTATGTACCTGCACTCTTGATTCAGGCAGTCCAATTCTCTGTGCTAGTTTCTCCCGGAGGAGTACATCAGGATAATGGGTTTGTCTGAATATCATCTCAAGCTCATCCAACTGATGGGCAGTGAATGTTGTCCTGTTTCTCTTTGATTTCATGATAATGTTGACTGATCCTTTGGGTGACTGCACTGGTGAAGTGGAATAATCTGCAGAAAATGATGCAAGATATGATCAGATAAGATACAATGTGAATCAGATAAGATACAATATGAATCAGTGCATGTAAAATTTGCATTGCTTGTATGTATACTGCAATGTCTTTGCATGTAGCATGTTAATAAATGTGCTTTTTGCTTACCATCACTGATGATGGAGTCTTTATCAGATTCTGCTGCACTGTCACAAGAAGAGGTATACCTTTGCTTGTGTCTCCTCTCTTCCTTCTCTCCAATAGTCAGATCAACATATTTCTCAGCTGGAGGCTTGCTGCTCTTGGTTGGTTGCAGATTCAGTAATCTCTCAATGGTGAACATGATGATGGCCTTTTGTCTTAATGAGTCTCTTCTCTGAAGGTTATACTAAGTTGTCTTCTGGTTTTGCAGTCCTCTTTATCCCCTTCTCTCTCTCATTAGGTTTCTCCTCCTCTTCCTTTACGCTGAGAGGTTCTATAGCTTCTTCATTAGCGATGTCTGTCAACCTGTCTCCTCACTCTAGGCAATTAAGGTTTATTAGCACATTAAAGGGTTTGACAATCACTAGCAACAGTTCACAAATACAAGCCAAATAAGAGCATGTACACACACACACACACACCAATTGGCTTCAGGTACACCACTGCAGCAAGTGGCTCAGTTATGACTGGTGATTGTGTGTGTACACTCCTTGAATGTTTAGAATTCCCCACAGGTATATAAACCTATTCCTTGGAATCTGACTAATTGAATGATTTAACCACTTTTACTTTTAAAAACAACATTGGACATGTGATTTTATGTTAGATTGAATGTGAATTGTTTATTTCCACATTTACAACTAATGGATGATACATTGACAGTTAGTTCTTCTGTAAAGTCATTCTCTAGTAGACATTCTTTCCACAACAACTAAACAAAAACAAAAACAACAACAACAACATAATAATAATGATGATACTATGCCTTTCTATAGCACATACATATACCTTTAATTTAGCCTCCAGTTCTTGGTTTATTGAAGGCAATATGTTACCCAGTGCCCAGTACAGTGACACATGGAATGATCTCTCCTTAAAAAGTTATAAAATAAAAATAAAAAGAAGGTTAATATTAAAGCATCATTTTGCTACAAACTATATATACCAAACTGTTGCTATTATTATTAAAAATTTTTTATGTTCTTGTATACCAAACTGTTGCTATTATTATTATTAGCCATAAATGAGACTGTTTATCAGCCCAACCACAAAGCTGTTTTTCTTAAAGTTGTTTTTCAGTGAGGATCATTATCAGGGAGCAAGGACATGAAGTCATGAATTGACGGATAAGTCAGTCAAGAATGTACAAACAAACAGCCAATTAATTCACAGACAATGAAGAGTGTGTCCATACAATAATACAAGTACTATATATATAATCATTATAAATATGAAGTGTTAATATTTTCACACACACAAAACCAGCCCAACCTAACAACTGGATTTATTAGTCACATCCCACCCTATCTCCCTGGCCGGTCAAACATGCACAGTACTAGTTAAGCTGTTAAACTTCAATTACATGATTTCCTTAATAACCACCTCTTCTTTTTGTTCAACTCCAACTTTGCCACCTCCTCAACTCTTTAATGTTTAAATCACTTTATTGTTAATAGAGCCCGTGGGCGACTGTCAGGCACTATTATATATTAAAGGTTATGAGATATACTCAATACAGTGTGTATAGTAATACTGGTGTGTGCTACCATTAATGGTCAATGGGATAATTCATTGTATAGTAACAGCTAATGAAGGAATTAGTATGTGTGGGAAAAAACCTTTTAAAAGTCTTCGTTATTAGTAGTAATACATACAACACAATAACTCGCTAACTAAAACATGAACATACATGTACATGTACATGTATCTGTACATTTCTCTGATAATTATAATAATAAGAAGAGGATAGATATTATGCTGATATAGGCTAGAGGAAACTGACTAGGCAGGCAAAGAGGATCAGTGAAAGTGCTGTCAAAGGAGATTGAATTAGGAGAGATAAGTTTGAGGATGCACATGTTCTTATTATCACTGACTAACGGATATTAATAGAACTGTGTCACAACAACATATACTGTATGTTAGAGACAGGAAAGGAGGGATAGAGGTAGTTTGTTAATGTTTTTGATAATAAAATGACGTAGCACTTTGAAGTATTTCATTAACTAGCAAACATGCAAATGGAGGTCAGTTACTTCATGTGATAATAGACAATATTATTATTGATGGATGAGTAGGGCAGGATACTCCACCTGGAGAAGACTTACTGTGTAGAATTTCGGTAGTTTAAATTTCTCAAATATCCTGTCTATATCATCAACTATAGAACATAACTGGAGAGGAAGAGAGAGAGAGAGAGGGAGAGAGAGGGAGAGATAGGGGGAGTTTGAGAAGGGGAGATTAAGAGGGAGATATGGAAGTCTTAATAATAAATAACATCAAAGAAGAGTAGTAAATAATAATTAATATGTTTACATTATTCCATTGATACACATCAGCTTATTGAGTTAGCATATTGTACTGATTCAAGCACCTTTACTGTAACCATACCAACCACATCAAAGACAAACAACAACAATAATAATAATTATTATCATCATCCAACTATGAAATTATTCCAATCTTCTACCAGTTCAATTATTAATAATCACTGGATACTGAAAGTACAGGAACAAGTATTAGACTCTATTACATACACATAATATAGTGTGTATAATGTATAATGAGATGAGATAACTCATTACTGTTGGTACTGATGTGTAGTAAACAAAGATTAGTATTTCCTTAATTAAAGAGATCACAGTATTCAACACACGTTCATTAATGACACATATACACTTCACTCACTTATCATCATCTAAACACACACACAATCTTAACAACATCTTCAATGATCTACTAACTACAGTATAGACACTAAGTTAACAATTAAGACTCATGAAGCAGTATCAGTAATAACTGTACTATATTAATGAGGTTATTCTGCTTCTGTGGGACAGAAGTAAATGACACAAAGTCTGGAAATAAAAAACTTTTATTGTCAGTTTGTTTATATTTTAAGGTATAAAAGGGTTTAGTCCTTGTTGCTGTGCTAATAATAAGTTTATTGTTAGCAATAGCCTCAAGATATTATCAGTAGTAGTAAGACTTTAAATTTCATTAGAATTAATGATAACCAAATATGGCAATGACCTCAATATGCATCACACAGTATTACATGTACTGATATAGGCTATAATATTAATAATGACTGTATTACTATATATAGCATCAATATTAGTGATGATAAGAGATAGTGGGTTCATGAACACACACACACACGTCACTGGTAGGTATTCATATGAAAGCGCCAATAGACTAGCTGTAATGAGAAAACTTCATTAAATAATTAATAATAAAGCCAATGACATGAAAGATAACACTTGAATATAAGGAAACAATATAGCCAATATTAAGGACAGGCACTTCACAGTATATGTACCTGTACTAATGTACAGTCAATGGATTACTTATAAAGACATACTCTGGACACTAGACGTTGCATAATGAGACAATGAAGTTACTAATGTCAGGCTAATAGCCTCACTGTCTCCGCTCAATTGGATTGCAAAAGGATAGAAATACATACATGTACATTAACATGCATGCATAAGGTATCAGAGGGAGAGAGAGAGGGGGAAAAGGGGTCGTATGTATGTATATATTTACAAAATTGAATTGTTGTAAATTCCAACAGTTCAATAGGAATCAAGTGACCATTGTATGTGGGAGACTGGGGGATTCTAATGAAATCAATAATAATAGATCAGTGAGTGAATAGTTATACTAATGGACACTGATTGATATAAAGGAAGAGAGAGGGAGGGAGGGATGCCCCAGGGGCAGTTAAATGGTTTGAGGATAATGTTACACAAAGTAATGGATACTGCCTACTCCCTGTTGTCATAGTAACGTATTAGTAACTGTTGATGGAATGAATTAAACTGTTTACAAAATACAGAACATTAGCAATTTCAAGAAATATGCTCATTTATGAAAAATACCCAAGGCTATATAGCCCATGGTTTTTTCTAAAAAAATGGCTCCAAAATCATCCCAAATTTTTATTACATTTTCTGATACATATTGATGCCCTTATGCAGTGTAGAAAGTTTGAGCTGATTCCGACTTCAATTTTTCAAGTTACAGCCATTTTAAGAAAACGGCAAAATTCTGAAAATTACCCAAGGCTATAGCCCATGGTTTTTTTCAAAAAATGGCTCTGAAATCACACCAAATTTTTATTACATTTTCTGATACATATTGATGCCCTTAGGCTGTGTAGAAAGTTTGAGCTTATTCCGACTTCAATTTTTCAAGTTATGGCCGTTTTTAAAAAGTAGCAAAGTTAATAAGTTAATACCAGTACTACAGCATACAGTGATACAGTACATATTATACTATTAATATTGTTAGTACAAATGAATGTAGTTAGAGATCATACAAGACAGTTCTATATCTACTGGTAGGTAGTTCCAGTGTCCATTATATTCATTAATGAAAATACACACACACACACACACACACACACACACACACATACAGTGTTGATTATGAATATCATACTGCTACTGTCAGAGTCAGTACACAATAGTGTCATGAATTCTATTTCTCTAAGTTACTTAGAATTAACAACAAAATTACTGTATAAACTATAATTTATAAACCTTTAAATTTATATTTTGTAAAAGCGAATTCTTTATTATTATTACTATGTTTCAAACTTCCTCTCATAATAATAATAATAATACATTATTATTGTTATTATTATTATTATTATTATTATTATTATTATTATTATTATTATTATTATTATTATTATTATTATTTAAATCAAAAGTGTTAGTATTTAATGTTTACGTTTATAATTAAATACGTCAAAAGTGCATGACAATCAGAACTGATTAGATGAAATTAATAATCAAATAAATATAAAAAACATTATCAGTCTGGGTACATACATGCATTAATGTCAGTCACAACATCACATATTTATATCAATTAACTTTAACCTGTTAGTGTCGCTGCACACGTGTACAGGTCATGTTTATTATTAGTTTATTGATGTTGTGTGTGGGTAACCTCTCACCTCTTGATGGCCTTCCTGTACATGTAGACCTAGGAACGACCTGAGGGGGAGGGGGAGGAGGAGGGGGAGGGAAGGGAGAGGGAGGGAGGAGAAGGGGGTAAGATGAATGTAGTAAGATTGATTGATGAGTGAACTAACCTTGACGTATCATCATTGACATAAAATACTAGACCATCAAATGAAACAGGAAACCTATGAAAACAAAAACAAGTTTGTGTGATAAATAATGGGTGGATATACAATTAATATAAAGATAAAAACATAATGGGTTTATATTTAAGTAGATTAGTACAAGAGACAGGAGGTTTTAGGTCTGTTCACTACAGGAATGGATGTACATGTATATACAAGCATACATTTAAATGATAATGACATGTCAACATCAAAAATTGTATCGTCATGATAATAACAATAAATGTGTAGCATATAAAAACAAAGGCATTATTGGCAGGGAAATGTTAATGTTATTCATGATTGGTGTCATCGTGTATAGATAAACTCAACTGTCTTCTTCACCAACTTGACCTCCTCTATATCTCATTTCAAGATGGCTTGTGATTGCTCTGACAAATTTATCTCTTGTTTCAGATCTTTTTTATATGTATTGTTCTACATCCTATCCTTTTTTACTTGCCAATATGTACCAGATGTCAAAATTGAAGATGAAGATGAAAAGAAACGTTGTAAAGTTTGCTGCTCAATCTTAGTCATATTATATATGGCCGCATTCACTATTCTTTGTGGACTTTTTATTAATATTTTTCCAACTGTTTTATTTATAAGTGATTGGTATCACTGTCCTATAAATTATTATAATATTTGCTATACACTTCAATTTCATAGCAGTAATCCAAACAGCTCTAAAGTACCTGAAATTGTATTAAGATCAAAAGATGATCATGATGGTAAGATACTTTAATTTCTCTTGATATTTAATTTATAATATACTTCATAGGTGATTATCTTGATAGAGAAGTCACACGTACAGCAGTCCAGCCATTCAATGATCTAGCAAAGTTCACGTTACTTTCCATTTGTTTCTCCACCTTTGTGTCTTACCTCATCTTCATCATTGCACTGATATGGCATTACTTTAGTGACCACTTTCACTTTTCAAAATGGAGATGCGATGGATATGAAGCACTAGAAGACAATGAAGGCATTCCCCATCCATTTAATGAAATTACTTGTAATTGTACATGCAATGATGATGATGATGATGATGATGATGATGATAGCACAGAAGTTTTCTGTGTTTTCTGTAGTTATAAGCTTACTAAACATTTCTGGTTTTTTTTCTTCCTTTCGTTAAACATCATCTTCTGGGGTGCAATGGTAGTTATATTCTTTTATGCACAGTATCATTATGGGGTTCATAAAGAAACACAAGGAAATAAAACAAGCAGCAAAACAGAGAAAAATAAAAAATATGAAATAGCATCAGCTGCTCTGTACTTCTATTCTCATTTGTGTACTATCGTTAGTTGCTTCATATTCTCAAAAATTATGTACGGGATTCAGAGAAAAATTAATGAACAAAAAAAGGACATCACTTCAACTGTGACACTGCCAGACTTGATAAATGACGACAAAACTTTCCTTAAAAGAGCTACAAAGGCACTTTCTATTTTCCAGTTCTGGTTCTTCATTCATTGGATATTCTACATTGTCACTTCATTCCTAATGATTGCTCTCTCCATTGAAGCTATTCTGTTACACATTAGGGCAACACAGCACCATATTCAACCTGGAGTCCATTTCAGTGTCTATGAGATTCCACTACTCATTATATGGTCTATATCTAATGTCCTCATGTTCATTTACCCGTGCTTTCAAGCAGCAAGCATCACAAGAGCAAGGAAGAAATATATACGGCACCTTATGAGGGATTATGCAAAAACTGACCAAAAAGAAAAAGTAGATTCATACGTCAAGTACCTGCAGAGTCGTGATTTTGGATTTAGACTAAACATTGCTTGTATACACATTCCATTCAATCTCAATGTAGCATACACTTCAATACTAATTGGAGTTTTTGGTATTGTTCTGAGTGTGTTAACAACTGTTGCTACTTAAAAATTGGCATATTTTTATTGCTACTGTGTGGCTAGTTGTTGTTTGATATTTTCCTGTACAGTAATTTTGCTGCTTAATTGTTATGCTGATTTTCATTTTAATTATTTTATGTACCTTTTACAAGTATATGCACACATTAATTTACTTGCTATTTTTACTCTTTATACTGCTGCTACAGTTTATTGCTACTCTTAATTTATATTCATTTTGTTTTTGCTACTGATATTGTGATGAAACTGAACCTACATGTCTTGGGTTCATAATAAATAAGATGTAATGGATACAGTCCATCGTATGAGTAGACTAAGGTCATGAGACATTGGGAGTTACTCTACCAACAATGAAAGAAAAACAGTTTATACAGAACCAGGTATAGATAAAAGATAATAGTATAATACATACTGTACAGCATTAGTTACTACACTACATGACCTTTGAACATAAAATAATAGACCTCTTTTCTAGTGAGTGTCTGTATAGTATCAGGTGTGTAGAATGGAATAAGTGGGTGTGTGTCATCAGGTGACTGTACATCACTGCTGAGGCAACCACTCGGGCAACCATGGTTAAAAAAGAAGATAAAAGTTCAGGATCAAATACAATGAAAGATAGGAAACCTGCAAAGGAAAGTTATTTAAGAAAATGCTGTTCATTGAGTTCATTGTTTCGTTTTCTTAGCATAATCACATTTCAATATATTCACTCAGATTTAAGCAGCAGCAGCAGCTGCATAAAGTGTTTGCAAATTGTATATACCATCATATTTACAGGGTTATTGGGGTTAGCAGTCAATATCTCTCCTTTAGCTGTGTTCCTTTATGACTGGATAGCATGTCCAATGGAATATTATGATATGTGTTTTATATTTGAGTTTCACAGTGATGATCCTAACAATACCAAAGTACCAGTAATAGTTATGAGGAGCAATGAAGGTAAGAATGACAAGATTAGTTAGCATTGTGTTATATTACTATTCTGTGTTTAGGTGATTATATTAATTATACAGTCACACGCCAAGCAGTCCAGCCATTTGATGATCTTGCCAAATTCACCTTTCTCTTTATTTTGGTCTCTGGTGCTCTATCATATGCTATCTTCTGCTTTCCACTAATTCATCATTACATTTGCTGTAAAGATAAAAAGTTATTCCATCCATTTCATGATAGTACTAAGAGCACTACTGATGATACTGATCCTCATATTACCACTTAATTAGAAGGAAAAGAGTGTATATACTTCTATGTGTTTCTCACAGCAAATCTCCTCTTTTTGCTTGCTACATGGCTTCTCTTCCTTTGCTTACAGTATACTAAAGAGGTTAGGCCTCCTTCCAAGGAAAAGAATAACACAATTTCATATCCATGGTTTGAAGGTGTTACTGTGTTCATATTCTTTTATTCACACTGGTGTAGTGTTATCAGTTGCTTTATATTTGCCAAAATAATGTACGGGATTCAGAATAAAATTAAAGCAGCAAAGTCTACAGGCAATTTAGAAATACTAATAGAACAAGATGATGATAAATTTATTAAACGTGCAACAAAAACTCTTGATTATTTCCAGTTCTGGTTCTTCATTCATTGGGTGTTCTACATCGTCACTTCATTTCTAATGATTGCTCTCTCCATTGAAGCTATTCTACTACACATCAGAGCAACACAAGCTCACAATCAACCTGGAGTCCATTTTAGTGATGGACAGATGTGTCTACTTGTCCTTCTTTCCATTTCAAATGTTTTTATGTTTATCTATCCTTGTATTCGTGCAGCTGGTATCACAAGAGCAAGAAAGAAATATATACTAAACATTGTGAAGAATAATTCAACAACTAAGGAGGGAAGTAATCATGCTACTGAGGAAGGAAAATTAGGAAATAATGACATACATGTAGTTAATTCATATGTCGAGCATTTGCAAAGCCACAAGTTTGGATTCAGACTAAGCATTGTTTGCATGCGCATTCCATTTGATCTCAATGTAGCATACACTTCAATATTAATTGGAGCTTTTGGTATTGTATTAAGTATACTGACATCCATTGCTACATAAACTATGTATTAGTTATTCTTTTTCTTGTTGCTGAGATTTACCTTTATTTTATTAATGCTGATGTTTAGTTTATTTTGAAATAAATAATTTTTTGTAATGCTGATTACTTTGTTGATTGTGATTATTGCTAACTTTTTGCTTTTAAATTTTAATGATGATTTTAACAAACCTTTTATAATTATTGGTGATTGATTCCATGCATATGTATGTAGGCCAATTCCCTCTAACATGAGCAAATGATCTTTTTCAATGAAGTCAATAATCTGATTCTAGCTCTAACCTATAATACACAATGACTGTGA